CCGGGGCTCTGGGACCTGGACCTGGACCTGGACCCGGTCTGGGACCTAGACCTGGTCTGGAACCTGGACCCGGTCTAGGATCTGGACCTGGTCTGGGACCTGGACCCGGTCTAGGATCTGGACCCCGGACCGGGGCTCTGGGACCTGGACCGGGGCTCTGGGACCTGGTCTTGGACTTGGACCCGGTCTTGGACCTGGGACCTGGTCTGGGACCTGGACTCGGGCTCTAGGATCTGGACCGGGGCTCTGGGACCTGGACCCGGTCTCTGGGACCCGGTCTGGGACCTGGACCCGGTCTCTGGGACCTGGTCTTGGACCTGGACCCGGTCTCTGGGACCTGGACCCGGGCTCTGGGACCCGGTCTAGGACCTGGACCCGGTCTCTGGGACCTGGTCTGGGACCTGGACACGTGATCTGGGACCTGGGACCTGGACACGTGATCTGGGACCTGGTCTTGGACCTTGACCCGGTCTCTTGGACCCGGTCTCTTGGACCCGGTCTCTTGGACCCGGTCTCGAACCTGGACCCGGTCTGGGACCTGGACCCGGTCTCTGGGACCTGGACCCGGGGGCTCTGGGACCTGGACCCGGGCTCTGGGACATGGTCTTGGACCTGGACCCGGTCTGGGATCTGGTCTGGGATCTGGACCGGGGTTCTGGAACGAGGAGGTTTAGGAGGAAGTTATAGAGAGAGACTCTGAGATACCCCCGCACACAGATAGCAGCAGGGAGGCAGGAGAAGAAGAAGAAGAGGAAGTAGAAGAAGAAGAGGAAGTAGAGGAAAAGGAAGTAGAGGAGGGGAATTAGAAGAAGAAGAGGAAGTAGAAGATGAGGAAGTAGAAGAGGAAGTAGAGGAGGAGAAGAAGAGGAAGTAGAGGAAGTAGAGGATGAGGAAGTAAAGAAGAAGAGGAAGTAGAGGAGGGGAAGTAGAAGAAGAAAAGGAAGTAGAAGAAGAACAGGAAGTAGAGGAAGAAGAGGAAGTAGAGGAGGGGAAGTAGAAGGGGAAGTAGAAGAAGAAGAGGAAGTAGAGGATGAGGAAGAAGAAGAAGAAGAGGAAGTAGAAAAAAACAGGAAGTAGAAGAGGAAGTAGAGGAGGGGAAGTAGAAGAAGAGGAAGTAGAAAAAAACAGGAAGTAGAAGAGGAAGAGGAAGTAGAAAAAACAGGAAGTGGAAGAGGAAATAGAGAAACAGGAAATAGAGCGGGAGGAAGTAGAAGAAGTAGAAAGGGGAGTTCTAGAAAAAGAGGAAGTAGTAGAAGAAGAGGAAGAATAAGAAGGGGGCGTGGAAGAGCTATGTTGTTTTTGAAGGCTGGACATTAGCAACAGATGCACATTTCCTTTAGACTAAAAGCTTCGACCTTGTTTCAACACTTTAAATAAACATTTCATTTAAATAAAACTTATAAATTCAACCTCTGTCTGGTTTTTCTTCCTCTCAGATCGAGGGAACGACAACTGGCTGATCAAATACGAGAAACCGGGGGAAGAAAGCGAAGTTCAGAAGGTCAGTTTAAGTCATGTTGTTTGTTGCCATAGCAACACTGTCATTATCCATTTACTGGCGGGTGAGTCAGTTTGAACTGATCGGTCCTATTGATCGGTTCCTTAGAACAGAGCTTAATGATTTGCTGATTGGCCCTGATTGGACAACAGATCTCTGTGGGTTATCTGGAGACCGCTTCTTGTTTTTAACTGTTTACTAAAAAACTTCACGCAACATTACAAAAAACATAAAATATATTCACAAAATTAAATCTTCCAACGGAGCATGGGAAGGGCAAGGTAAAAAAAAACTATTACGCTCCAATCTCCTCCCGATTCCAAACACCTGATGGAAGGTTTTTAAACTTCAAAATAAAAGTCTTACTCAAACAATATCAATGAACTGTAAATATCAATTTTAAATCCTTTTAAATCCTTTTGAATCATTAAATAACAAAGAAATATTTATCTTCATCGTGAATTAGCATATTTTTAAATAAAAAATATGGCGGAAGGTTTTTAAACTTCACAATAAAAGTCTTACTCAAACAGTATCAA